GCACCAGCAACCTGTCTCCACCACGTGCACAGCCAGCTCACAGCACCCGCACCAGCACCAGCAACCTTTTTAGAAAGCGCGCACAGGCACCTTATTTTTATTTGAAGTAAGAACCCCATGGCTTCGCTATCCAGCTCACAGCACCAGCACCAGCACCGGCACCCAGCACCAGCAACCTGTCTCGAAAGCACGCACGGGCAACTCATTACTATTTGAAGTAAGAACCCCATAGCTTCGCTATCTGGGGAAAAAATGATCCGAAAACAGCCCCGGCGCCCAGCACCAGCACCAGCACCGGCACCCGGCACCAGCACCAGCAACCTGTCTCCACCTCCACCACGTGCACAGCCAGCTCACAGCGCCAGCACCGGCACCAGCACCAGCACCAGCAACCTGTCTCCACCTCCACCACGTGCACAGCCAGCTCACAGCACCAGCACCGGCACCCGGCGCCCAGCACCAGCACCGGCACCCGGCACCAGCACCAGCATTCTGTCTCCACAGCAGCACCCAGCACCAGCACCGGCACCAGCAACCCGTCTCCACCGCGCGCGCAGCCAGCTCACAGCACCAGTACCGGCAGCAGCACCAGCACCAGCACCCTCACCCAGCACCAGCAACCTGTCTCGAAAGCGCGCACGGGCAACTCATTGTTGTTTGAAGTAAGAACCCCATAGCTTTGCTATCTGGGGAACAAACTGCCCAAAAGCACGTCTGTGCGACAAAAATTCGTGAAACAGGCAGTTTTTCGTTACTAACGACTTCGTCGGTTGCAATGCTACCCGCCTCCTTTGGAGAAATCGTGGTCCGAACATTGTCCAAAACAAACTTGACACGACGCAACGCCTCTTGGCGAGCACGTTTGTCATCTATTCTGCAAACCATTGCCAAGACATCACTGACTGACAGAGATGTTGTTCTTGCCTCAACTGTAGAACAATGGACCAACTGAGTGTCTAGGCATGACCAGCCCTTCCTATACATCTGTTGTGGGGCTGGCTCTTTACCATTCAACAACTCCTTGGATATAAAAGACGTTTGCAGTGCAAAAACCGATTCCGAGGATTGATTCTCTGAAACTGTCTCAACACAATGTCTGAAAACACAAGAAGTACCAAGATGCTCTTTTGCCATGATCAAATCCTCAAAACCAGGAAACAATTGTCTAAGAACTGCATTTCGCAGTGCTCTCGGAATGTGCGGATTCAAGCTCTAGCAAGTGGATATGTCACAATAGTGTGCGCAACCATCTCTGAGAAGCCATCCAACTCCATAGGAGCTCAAAATTGTAGCCATCTGAGCAATACGCTCTGTTGAAACTGCGATTGGAAAGCTTGCTTGCAAATTCATAACCCAACTGGGCTGCAACTGCCTCCAACACTGCAGTGCCTCTGGCATATTCAGCCTCATCACCCAGCTCAGCGCTGCGCTCTAAAAGCTTCAATCAGCCGCTGGCACGACAATTGCTGCAGGCATTTCCAGCTGACCCAGCAGGGATGTGAACCCATTTTGATCAAGAATCAGTCGGCTCCAGCTTCGTCTTGTCAATCGGAGGCTTTCGCTCGGCCGTTTCTCGATCTGCTTCCAACAGCTGTTCTTGCTGCATGCCTGTCTCTACATTTGTAGCCTGGCTTGTGCCCTTGATGCCATCCTCTTCGCCACCCTTGGCACCAAGTGCATCTTGGATGTCGAGGTAAGCAGCAGGAGCAAAAACTGCATTCGCAATGGGTGGCAATGTGGCCACACCACCGCCAAACTTTGTCTTCGGAACATGCTCAAATCCCACATTCTCCAACTGCACAGGATCAGCACGATCCATGAGCAAACGCTCAATGCGGTCAAACTCTTCATTGAGTGGATTGACGAACTGATTAGGACGCTGATCTGTCTGAAGCAAATCCAAACCACCATCAGGAGTCCAAGGCGAAAGATAGCCCTCCTTCATCACCCCAAGATTGTTCCTAACAATCTGATTGTTTGGAACAATCGCAGGTGCAGCTGCCGTTGGTGGGATCAGGTATTGCTTCTTTGAGCCATCACCTTCATTCCTGTACACCCAACGTCGCAACAACCAGGGCCGAGTGAAACAGAGATAGTCCAGAAGATAAACTGCCTGGAGGTATGCAGCCAACTGCATTCCCAAAACAATCGAATTCTCATCCTCCTCAAAACCTGGTGCATAGCACGCAGCCAACATCGTCCCTGCTGCATAACCTGTCACAAGGTCTCGCAAGCTGACTGATGTGAGCCGTCGTCGCACCAAAGACATTGTGGGTGGGAACACCTTCAGCAAACTGTACACACTTAGTGTGTCAAGCGGAAAGAAGCCAACACCACCTGCATACTGGTCATATCGATTCATATGGTTGACTCATACAGTTGACTCTACGTAGCTTTGAGCTCCCGCGAACGAGCGCAGGCAACGACCTCGGAGGCGACTAGAGAAGACAAGATCCCAAATGCACCGAAAGACACCAGGTGTACAAACCACGAAAATTATCTGCAGGCGGAAGCATGTTTTTCTTGCAACACGCACTTATATATCCCATGGTCATCTAGTGACGGCCATCACGCTGTTGAAAAAACCATGTCTGAAATCGGCAGAGTGCCAGTGCCCAGCCGACGCCAGGGCGTACATCCGACCCCGTGGCAAGCTGCACATGGAGGTTCACAAAGCGCTGTGCCTGCCACGAAATCTGCACACGGAGGTTCACAAAGTACTGCGCCTGCCACGAAATCTGCGCATGAAGGTTCACAAAGTGCTGCGCCTGCCACGAAATCTGCACATCCAGCGCCGGTGCCCAGCCGACGCCAGGGCGTACATCCGACCCCTTGGCACGCAGCAAAGTGCTGTGCCTGCCACGAGATCTGCACACGGAGGTTCAC